AAAACGTGGATACATATTTCTCTTTATGTTTTACACAACAACTCGCGTTGGAAAGCTCCGCGATAGCATCCTCTTCCAAGTGAATTCGGACTATGACCTGAAAAGCTTGTGATAAAACCGGCATCCTCTTGGTTCAAAAAAATTATATCAGCGTTAGTAAACAATTTGACATGTTAATCTTAATGGAAAAGCTCAATTCGCAACTATTTCAACTTACATCTTGTATTTAACATTATATATGGTAACTATACAATAAGTATGGTTAATTGAAGGTGTTGTCTGGTATCAAACCTTTATTTTCCTAATGATCGTTTCGATCGCGTAGCGATCATTCTGAAAGCTTGCAGCTTCCGGGCCGAAAACAAAGTTCTGAATGTTAGATACCTGATGAATAAATGTTTGATGCCAGACAACACATTTAATTAACCATATTTAATTATTAGAAGGTATCTATCTCACCAGCGATTTAATTAACTATACAATACCTTGCACTTAACTTACTTCTTATCCTTAACTCTAATATTTATGGCAAAGTAATTCGTATACTTAATAACGTACAAAATCAGTTAATTGATTTGAAATTTTAAAAACATCGTTATTAAAATTAAAACATTTCTAAGTCCGAGGGAGGGAGTGCGTGGCCCCACGCTACTGCTGGATCCGCCTCAGCAAAAGTCCATTTTGGTAATCGAATTCAGATTCCCAGGACTCTTAATGAAATACGTGCGAGATGAAGGTTCTGCACCCTGAAGCAATAATGCTCAAGCGTTCAAAGGACTAGTAATATATCAGACAATATTGTGATAGGAGACCATGAGACCTTTCGCTTCGCATTTTACGATCAATAGTTATGGCTTAACTTAACGGAAATGCGAAATTGATCTTGAAACTATGATCGAAGACTGTCCGAATTAATTAGAATGAATTGAAATAAATGTGTGATGAAATATCGTTACAAGCTCTGTCAATACTACAAATCGTATATAGTTCGCTAAACATTTGCAATTACTGGAATAACTAACGGCCAGCTCGTTTACAAGCGACTTTCTTAAAATCATGTAATCCAGAGACCAATAACTCCATCTCAGAAAGATGATCGTCACTTGACTAAATAAAATATATTGAGAAGATTTCAACGTGATTGTCGTTCATCGTTGTGTTTTCAGATATATTTTAAAAAGGATGTGTTCGTGTATGTATGGAATAAGACTGCTGCTGATTCATGTTCCCGTGTCGCATGGTGCTCTGCTAGAAAGGTTTCGTTACTTGGGACGCCTTATGATCTCATACTGTGATGTGCAGATCCTCGACGCTCCCTAAGTAGGATTTGATGCAGTCGTGTGGGGGAAAAGCCAAATTGTATGATGCTGTTGAATGAACTTTTTTTGGTATCAACCAAAACTATCTGCATCCTTTAAAGGATAATGGTGTAGGGCGATTACCTTTTCACATTCTTCCTTGGTTTGAGGCGTATGTTTGGTTCCCTATCTAGTACAGAGAAAAGATAGACCGACAATTCTTAATAGCATTCTCTGGCCCAATTGACGAGGTCCTCTTCAGTCGTTAGAGTATTCATCTCATTATAGGATGAACATCTTCAAGCAGATCCTGATGATTATGTGCATGACCATTGCAGTTCTACTAATTTACACTTATAAAGTAACACTCTTTGAAATGTGTTAGAAATGGATCTAATTTTGTCACCAATCCTAAATCTGTCTTTAATCCAGTTGAAATTCTAGTACCTACTTAAAACCCTTATTGAGACGTTATTGCGATGTAGTTTTATTGTTCTCACATTACATTTACTGGCAGTTAAACAATTTAAGAAGTGTTATTTACTTTGTCTGCGATATACGCAAGACGCAATATGTATTTACCCTTTAAACTAAAAATAATCTTTCGTTCGCCTCAAAGTGATATTACAGTAATTGTAGGAGACTCTGTAATGTATGTATGTGTGTGTGTATGAGTGTCTGTTGAAAAAATTGATCTTATCGAATTCCAATCTTTGCTCATTAAGTAACAATTGCATTAATAAAAAATATTAAAAGACAATGGTTTACACTTCCTCTGCTCTCTAGTGTTAGTTCATCATGTCTCTTCAAACAGATTGTTTACACTCGCGAATTTTGAACAGCACACAGCAAGAGTCAAGGTCGCAGGCAAGGCAACCAGCTTCCTGCACTTCTCGAACACTGCGTGCAAAGCAATTGACGCAGATTTACATGTTAGGGTTGTACAAATTGATCCGAGGTGGCGGTAAGTTACTTGATTTTAAGCTCATGACACTTTTGGAGAAATCAGTTGATAGCTATTGCCCCCAAATGTAACACTACTAATTTTCATTTCTTCTTCTAAAGCAAAGAAGTGATCCATTAAAATTCAATAATACGCTATCAAATTGAGAGTAAAATTAAACATTTTGAATAAAAATTATTTTGAATCTGTTTACTTAAGAGCGCAATAATTGCAGTAAATTCCTGCGGTCAGGTTAGGCGGTTCTTCCCAAACGAGAAATATTATTGTTTGTAGACTTGTTTATTTATTGCACATTATTGCATCATTCAACAAATAACTGAATGATTTAATAAAACAAAAAGAAAACAAAATTCACAATTAATGTATTCTTGACCCTCGGCAAAAATGTTTATGCAAAGCATAATTTGAAAATAAAATAAACATGAAACTGAAATATAAGTTGAAAAGGATGTAAACATAATACAAATCCCGGTTGTTTGGTAGAACAAATTTGACAAATATTTTCGTCTGAAGCCACTGTTTCACGCCTGGTGCCACTTCAGCTCGCGCGAATACGACCCTTTTTGGATTTGGAGGAAGATGGGAGCGGAAGGAGAGGAAGCGGCGGCTTCACATGCCGACCTTGCAATCTCAGACTTCAAATTTATTTTACTTGTGCATTTTTCGCAAACTATGTTAGCATAGAAGCAAATCACATTCCTTGTTGGTAGTGTGCGTACAAAATGAAGTCTCGTGATGATTATCTCAAGTTCTGTTCTTTGCAGCCCCTCTCCGTTCAACAGCCTAGCGTGTGTGGTGTGTGGTATTGTAAATGCAACACTGCAATGAATACGTAGTGAAATAACAGAGAAAGTGAAAGGAAAACTTCGTTGTTTGGTACATTTTTTATATCTTGTCCGCTTGTGATAAGTACACTGAAGTACAAGATTTCACATGAAGTGTGAAGTGATTGATCTAAAAACACTTTTTGAAAAGGCTTTCTATCAAAAGATGTCGTCCAGATTAATATGTCTTATGCATTCGTAAAACACAATTCTTTCATTTTTAATTTAAGTAATTTTTTCGTTTCATCAAATCTGTCTTCAATCTTTCGTTTATTTTTTTTTACACGCAGGCTCTATTACCTACATAATGTCTCGGTAAAATGATGTAATTTATAAAAATACTTATTATTAATAAGGTATAAATACCAAACTTCGAACAATAAAAACCTACATTGTACATCACACACGTTTAAATAAAGTTAGTAACAAATTTAAAAACGAAACGTTGAGAAATTGTGTTCTAAGAATATAGATCGCGATGATCCCGAACTCTTAATTTTCATTTCAAAGTACTTTACTCTTCAATTCAATTTTCCCCATTGTGATGACTCATATCATACCAGTACATTGATTCGTTTTGCCTTATTCGTCAGTAGCATCTACTACAAATCCTCTGTATTGGGATGAAACACGACGGCTCGTGCGGCGCGGCCCGTAGGAGGAGAAGCCTGGCAGCACGACCTCGACCTGGCCTCCGCCTGAAGCTCCCGGCGCTGACATTGGAGCCCTTCATCGACCGCGATCGAAGCCCCGAGGTCTTCCAATCCTTGCGTCACTGAAGAAGACACTTGACGGCGAGCGACGGAGAGAAAAAGGAAGCCTGAAATCTTTCTAACGGCATCATTGCGCTAAGAATGGGCGGAGAAACTGGATGTTGACTCATATTCTTAGCATTAATTTGCCAATTTCTACATCGTGTACACGCGATGCAATTGGCAGTATATTACACAAACTTTTCGTGTATATTTTCCCTGATTTCAGAATTCATGTTTCAGTTTTGCTTGTTTTGAATATTGTTGTTCAATGGTTATAATTTCATCGCGACTCCTTTGTTGTCTTAATTGACCAAAAAATATTTTTTGAATTCACATAACTTTCTGCATTTGGGGAACATTTTTTCTCTATCCTGATCAACGACGAATAAACAGAAACATCACAATAGCAGGAACTACGGGTTTAGAGTTACAATACTCTTCATTGTTAGGGTTTCCTCGTCCCAAAATTCGTAACGAGGAGGATTCAAGCCCCTTCGTCTGTGACGTCACGACGTAAAAGGGAGGCCTTGTAAACGATGACGCTCACCGTGTAAGAACACAAGGAAGAAGCGCAAGCACAAAAAAGGCATTACGTCAGTCAGCAGCCTTGGGGCGCGACTCGCCGCGGTGACTTCAACGCGCGAATATACCGGCAGACCGCTTCTTTGGGCTCTGCAGCCGCGGCGGCCACGCCGGGTGAAGGAACCCTGCAGAATGTCACTGCATGGACCGCACTAGACAGCTTGTTGTTTTACGGCCACTTAATCATCCAGTCTAATTGTGCTTAATGTCGTGAAACTAAGGAGGTACTGCTATGCAAGCACCGCAAACGAATGCACCCGTCGGAATGTTGGCCGTAGTTGGCCATACCTGTGACACTTTACACAATGATACCGTTTGAATCGTCGATTCTGTTTTGGAAAGGCACGCCCGGTAATATCCGGTGGTAGAAGTCGATACTGTGAAAGGAGCGGCTTGCTAAATTCGGACGTTATTGTCAGAACGTTTGGGTGGAACGTTGAGAAATCCTACCGATTAATCACGAACAGAATCTCTAGTAGTTATTTCACCGGAGAACGTTTTCAATCTGAGTGTGTTGTGCGTTTTTCGAGGCACGCGTGACACCCGACGTCCGGTCGAGCGCGGTCGTCGTACTCACCCAACGCCGATGTGTCGTCTTCCAGTTCGACGAGCACGCGTCCGCTGAGGAATTGCCCTGGGAAGTACAGCAGGTTCGTGTTGTCGAACAGGATGAGGAACTTGAGAAGTTTGCGGGCCATGGCGCCGGGGCGGGAGAGGGCCGCGCAGCGTCGAACTCCGCTCTGGCGGCGCGGCTGGAGCGCACTGCGGCCTCGTGGCGTGGTGTGGCGTGGCGTGGTGTGGCGTGGCGTGGCGTGGCGTGGCGTGGCGTGGCGCCGCAGCGCAGCCTCCGCGAGGGCGCGCCACGGGCGGCGCGGAAGCGTGGAGGGGGCGGCAGCGGCGGACAAGATGGAGTTGGCAGCGGTGGCGGTAGGTGCCAGGAAACGCCGTGTGGAGCGCGGTGCGTGAGAAGACTAATGGGGTGGTGATGGATGTGGAAACGGAGGAGGACGAGGCGGTCGCGGTGGTGACGGGGTGGTGGTGACGTATGAGGAAGAGGTGGGAGTGGTAGAAGACGGTGATGCAACCGGAGGTGACGGCGACGAGTGCGGACGGGGTGCGCGGCGAGGGCGGGCGAGAGCGCCGCTGTTGCGGCCATTGAAGCGGACGGCTCGCGATCTGGTGGCGTGCTGGTCTGCACCCGAGACCTTGCGTTTCGGTTTGATTTCTGATTATTATGCTCTCTAGGCACGAGAAGATTATCGGGTTACCAAACGTTCAAAGCGGACGCTAACTTCCAGGGAATTTCATTAGGCAGATTTGCATTTTCTGTCAATATAAAATACGAAACGTTTGGAACGTAAAAGGTGGTAGCAGTGCTGACGCGTGTCTGTTGTCTTTTGCATTGCCAATATACTCTTCATGATCGATGTATATGAACTGAGAAATGCAGTAACGTATGACTTACAAAGACACTGACTGCAATAAATTTTAAATAATGTAAATTCTCTTAAATGAAATAATTGAGCCTCCTTCGCAACGGGCGGAGTGGAACTGGACTGGAAAAACGTCGAACCGCGAATTGTACGTGCCTTTCCGACATCAGAAATCGATTCCGTCTCCCCAGCTGCGTTCGCCCCCACTCGCTCCGCCCCCACCCGCTGCTGTGCTGGCAGCCGGCTGGCCAGCGGCTGGCTCTGCGGGTGGGCCCGGGCCAGCCAGGGCCTGCCAGCGCCTGCCAGCCGCTCGCTTTCTCTTTCACCTGACATCACCGCGGCCGGCGCGCGTCCCTCGACAGCGCCCCCAGACCCCGCGGCGCGAGTGGATGGTGGCTGTGTGCGATGGGAAGAAGTACCACGATTTTAATAAACATGTAATAATAATAATAATAATAATAATAATAATAATAATAATAATAATAATAATAATAATAATAATAACCGGTCAGATTACTGGAATAGTTAAGGCTGCAGTGCCATAGTGCCAAGAACATCGCGGGTTCGAGTCACGCGTCGGGCATGGGTGTATTTGTGTTTGTATGTGTGAGTCGTCCTCTCACCCCTCATAATCATCATTATTTCATTTTCCTTGCGCGAAGGGTTAACAACCGTGAGGCGTAAAAATGGACTAAGCAGAAATGCTGATCCCTCCCTAATAATGTTTCATGTGCCTATCCCCCTGAAAAATATAATCTGGGCCTTGGTGGACGTTCGCGTGATGTATAAAAAGGCTAATTCGCGTCGAAAAAATAAATAATAATGAAAATTATGATGATAACAACAACACTCCTAGGGCTAACAACCCTGAGGAATAAAAATTAGATCTAGCTAAATGCTGATACCATGATAAAATTACATGAACCTACCATCGAAATAATGTTACATATCCCCAGTAAATGCAGAATGCATCCACGCGTGGTCCAAGTTGGTGTATTTGCGAGCAAATAATAATTGTAATAGTAATAACAATAACAATAATACTTTCAAACACTATATAGCAAAAAAATGAAACCGATCGTTTTTCTAAACAAATAGTTGAAATTAATGAAAATGGTGGTAAAGTGACAACGGATACAAAATGAATAAAATATAATGATCTTCACCGTTCTTTAACACAAGAAGACATAACAATCAGGGAAAGATTTGTATATTTGTAAATTACAAACTTCCAGCTTTTTTTACATTTTCCTATTACATTCAGTTGTTCAACAAAACATGCAATATATTCTCACAAATAATAAACATTGAATTACGAATGAAAATGAAAAGTATAAATACAGTTGTTATACATGATAAATATATTTAATTATAAAAATGATAATTTATAAGAAGAAAAAATATAAGATAATTATTTTACGGTACTAAACATGTGCTAGATACAGAAGTTGATAGTCATTCTTATCCACTCAACTAGGCTGCCCACACAGGAAGCGGGAGAGGGGCGCGAAGGAGGTCGATCCCAGATGGGCTCCCGAAATCAATTGGGGCTTGGTGATGTTGAAAACCTTCAGTGGGGAAGGTAATACTCGTATTATTATGAGCAATACTTTATATTCTTATATAATTGTGTATGTTGGTTGTATTGCTTAATAGTAAGGAGATATTTTTCAGAATTCTTTATTAAATTGCATTAACTTCATAAGTAAATTACAATTAAAATATTTTTGAATAAAGAAAATATATTCCCAAGAAGGTTCCCGGGGAAACTAGTGCTCTGATTCTTCCTTACAACAAGCTCCGCCTATTTCGCTTTCAAACGCATGGAGGATGGAGGCAATTTTCAGGAGAAGGTATTTCTGGAAGCAAAATGCTGCCTCTGTCTTGCTCCGGACTTCACAATTGGTCGGGAGCCGACTCGTGTAGTATTTTTAAAATATATGCGGTGTTTGTTAAACAAAGGGAGCTTAAAGTATTTAGAATAAAATTAAATATTAGAGATCAGGAATATCTAACTATCAACAATGGTCATGGCAGTATATGCAAGTGTTGTGGCCGCATGTCCGCCCCCCCCCCCGCTAGCAGCTTCAAACGCATGTGGCGGAGAATGGTTTGAAGAAAAGACTTGCGTGGGAACTGCGTAAGGATTGACTGCCAAAAAAATAGTACTTGTCATGGGATGCTAATTTCTTATAAACAATAAAGTATCTTGAAAACGAAAAACATAGCGCCAATGTGATTGTGAAATTTTGCATCTCATTTGCAATGTTTGGAAATATTTCCACATCTGAACTAGCGACGTCCGAAGTTTTCTACGAAGTAATATTGCTAGGCCACTTCTCCTCCCTCTGAGATTGACTGGGGTTGTTTGTGAGGCGCCGCCTGCAACGTTGCGTCATGACAAGGGCTGCCCAAACCGTAGAAACGTTGAATTTGGCTGCAGACTGTCCGCTTAATTTATGTTATTAGAACTGTACTTTTGCAATGTTAACTTTTCAAAAACACAGAGGTTCCTTGGAAATGGGATCAGCATAATTCTTGTAATCCAATTTGCTACATAAGAAGAAATAACTTCAAGAACAAATATAGATTCCTTTATGAGCAAAGAATTGTTGAAAATCGCCTATATTTTACGCAAATTTGCACACGTATTCGAAAAATTCTATACTACTTTATTTTCAAGATCTGATTTTGAAAAAAAAAATTCTATTAAGAAAAATATACATCTTCAATATTGTAGTTGTAGGTAGACGCGGATAAAATTTTGAACTTTTGTAATTTTTGAAAATTCAGATTTCAATGAAATGAGACCTTTGCCATTTTTAATCGTTCCCCGTGCAGTTTAATAAAAAACGTCCAAGCTTCACTTAAAGTATCCCCATAATTCAAAACAGCTTTTTTAAACTAGCACAGCCGTGAGATCAATCGGAGAATAGCTGTTTTATGTGACGTAGTGAAATGAGAAAAAAATTCAAATAACAAAATAAAAATAGTATATTAAAAGGTTATAGACAAGCTACAATAAATTGCTAAATTTAAACACTCCGGCAACCTTTTCCTTCCAGTACCCTGCTTTACCACAGAAAAATAAAAGCCACGCGTGATGCGAGCTGTCGGACTTCCGTCCCGTGACAATTACCGTCAAATGGCCTGACGCCAAAATTTAAACCGGTCGTGGCGGGCCGTGTGCCTACAGCACGCGAGATCGTCTGGCCCTTACGCTCCGAACATCTCGCCCACACTCCTACACTCATTGTACCTACTCGTACAACGCTCTCCGATGTAAACTGAATGAGAACACGGGCGCAGTTGGCGGCACGTTAAATAGTTGAGGGCTACACCCCCACTACACAAGTTCCCTAGATAGGCTCGCTTGCTGTCGGCAAGCGAGGGCTCGTCGGCCAGCATCTTAGGAGGGGGTTACACCCCCACCACACAAGTTCCCAAGGTTAGCCCGCTTGCTGTCGTCAAGCGAAGGCTCGCTAGCTAGCTTCCTAGGAGTTTACAGCCTATGGTTATTTTTGGCTCTGCCACGCTGTCTGCGTCAACTGCCAGAGCGCAAAATCCCGGACGTTCAGGCTCAACCCTTTCCTCCCCTGCAGCGTGCTTTCACCTAACGGATCTGGCCCTCGTGTTAACGACGCCACATTTGGAGAAAATCTCCTGGACGGTTTAGGCGTTGGGGTAACAACACTAATGATGATAGAAAATTTTACTTTTTCGTGTTAATACTAAGAGGTAAAGTATTTGTGTGCCACAAACGGCGATTTTTTGAAAACTCTTATTACTAGATCCTGTTAACGAAAACGTGGATAAATCTTGTAGAATCAAATAATTGGTCATCTTTGTTAACTCCAATATATTCACAGAGTCGACTGCACGGAGTGGACACCGTCAGTCTAGAAATAATGTTTTTTTAATTATTTTGTATTTTATTAATATTATTTTAAGCTGATGACGGCAAAGCCTTCGCAAACCGGCTTTCGGATGCCGGCTCTCTGAATAAACCTGAGTTGATAAAGATTACCAATTATATTATCCTTCTACAATGTATGTCAACAACACATCTGCATTCCCATGATTTTCACGATACGTTTTGTTCATATACGTATTAAGTTAATTTATTTAACACGTTGTGAAGTCAGTATGGATGCCTGTTCGCCTGACTGTCTGTCCGCTTGTCCTCATGCATGCCTGTCCGTCCGTCCGCCTGCCCGTCTGCCCACCTGTCCATCTCCCTGTCAGTCCATCTACCCGTCAGTCCACCTGCCCTCCTGTTCGCCTACCCACCTGCCCGCCTGCCCGTCTGTCCACCTGTCCATCTGCCTGTCAGTCCATCTACCCGTCAGTCCACCTGCCCTCCTGTTCGCCTACCCACCTGCCGCTGCCCGTCTGTCCACCTGTCCATCTGCCTGTCAGTCCATCTACCCGTCAGGCGCCTGCCCTCCTGTTCGCCTACCCACTCCCCACCTGCCGCCTGCCCGTGTGCCCACCTGTCCATCTGCCCCGTCAGTCCACCTGCCCTCGCTGTTCGCCTACCCACCTGCCGCGCCTGCCCGTCTGCCCACCTGTCCATCTGCCTGTCAGTCCATCTACCCGTCAGTCCACCTGCCCTCCTGTTCGCCTACCCACCTGCCCACTGCCGCATGTCCGTCTTGCCACCTGCACATCTGCCCGCCCGCCCGCCTCCCGCCTGAAATCAATGTTAAAATTGGAATATTTTTTGAATAAATTTTGAGACAACTTTGCTGCAATTTACCCACTGTGTATTCATTAAAATAAAATTGATATTAGTTCCGTTGAATAGAGTGGAAAAAGTTGTTGAAGTGAACTCAGTTTCATTTATTAACTTTTATTATTTATTAACGTTTATTAACCAACCAGCTATCTCCACCAGCGGGGCACCGCCCCAGCCGGGATAAGCTCTAACCTCCAGGCCGGTCTTCCGGCATATGAGGTGGTGTGTGTGTAAGTAAGGGGTAAGGATGCGTCAAGGAAGAGGAAGTAAAGATCGCGCTCAGTCCGCGCCCGTTTGTTAGGATACTGCACCGGCATTTGCCTGGTGTAAGCGGATCAAAAATTACGATCAGAGCAGCCGACCGCTAGACTTCTCCTCTAGACAGCGGTTGAATTCGACTTAGGACACAAGCTAGTGTCGAAAATCCTGCCACAGGACACGACTCAAACCCAGGGCCTTCCTGTCAGAGGCACTGCAGTGACATCAGATGATGCCCTGAGCCACCTCTCCCGCTACGCTTACAGACCTACCGTAGCCGCCATACCCAGAAGCCTACGCAAACCAGGTCTGAAGGAGTCCGGCTCCAACTAAATACGCCGTAATGGCAAGTCATCTTGTTTCTAAAAGCATTGGTTGCATAGCAGAAGTGTGGCAGCCTGTCGTGCCTTCGATCGAGATGTCAGACGCAGTCGTTGCGGGGCAGGACGAACGGGTGTGTGTGGCGGTAGCCGGCAGCCAATGAGCGGCAGCGCCACAGCCCTCCAGGCGGACGGCAATCGGAAAAGGATCGATAGGCTCAATTCAAACACTGTCTGGAGGAGAATCCTAACGGCCGGTAGATCGTATCGGTGATTTTCATGTTAGTAGGAGAATGTTAGATCAGTACCTAATGGGCACGCATCTCACGAATCTTTCCTTCCTCTTCCTTGAGATATCCTCTATTATTACACAAACAAATCCTCTGCCCGGGAAGTCCTAGGATTCGAGTCACGAACGTGGCGGAATTTTTTTATACAGCTAGATCGAATTCAGCCGCTGCCTGGATGCCAATTCTAGCACCGACTGCTCTGATCGTAGTTAGCCGACATTTCTTCGAGCCATGGACCGAACTAATCAGCTATGGAGCGCGCGTGATCCATCCTTCTTCTTGTCCTATCCTCACACCCTCCCTTGCCCACACATACACTTACATGCCTTACCACACCTACCACACATGTCATGAGACCGGTCGGGATCTTAGCGCTTGTCCCGGCTGGGTCGTGTTCCGCTGGTCGGAGATACCTGGTTGGGGAAAACTCCCAGAGCGAATGAGTAGGTCGGCACCGGATCTTGCAATCCAGCTGGATCCCCTTCCGCGAAACAGCATGCACTACACTTACCGGACTATTCACCTTAGCAATTGCACGCCAAGATTTATATTAACAGAAACACACAACACACACTTCTTTGCACTACCACACATGTCGAATATTTCCTGGTTATTCGAAAATTGCGAAAAGTTCATTTTTTTCATGTCTTCTTACAACCACAATATTGAAAGTAGAGATTTTCCCCTTAATGACATCTGTTCTCAAATAATAAATAATTTGATGCTTTTTATGATAATTTGATGTACAATTTTTCGAAATTTATGAATTATTTTCGCCTAATTGTGTGAAATTTAATGAAATTTGTCATTTAAAGACTATATATATATATATATATATATATATATATATATATATATATAATATATATTATTGTGGCGTTAAGGGATTGTGCCAACCCGATAAACCCACGTCTCATGTGTGAACACTACGGAAGCAGCGAGGATAAACAGACGCGTAAGGCAGAGGTACTTAAACGCGCGCCTGGTATCCGTTGCCCGTAACTAAACGAATGCGAACTAGCGAGCTATGTTTTCTTTGTGAAGGGTTGAGAGAGGGGAAGCATCCCCCCCCCCATCACGGAGAATTCCCCCAGGCACCGCGCCATAAATACGCGAACCCGCAAGCGGAAGCTCTCTTTTCTTGCCACCACGCGCCGAGTAAGCAGCTAGTTACCACCGATAGCCGAGTCAAACCACTTTCGTTAAACATTAGTTTAGATATTGTTTGCCGCTGCAACGACTACTAGGTAGGAGTAATCGGCGTCGAACAGACGTTCTAGTTAGTCGTCCGCGAGATAGTGCAGATTAAGTAGTGTTTCTTCAATTAACACACGGGAAGTAAAAAATTACCCGCTGTGAAGGAAACATTAAAAATTCTGGCTTGTAAAAGGAAGTATGCAACGAGCGAGGAACTTGCACGGGTATTCAGTGAAGTGCAAGGGACATTTTCGCAACGTGGGCGTAATCAGAGGCGCCGGTAGCAGACGAGGAAGAAGAAGAGCCGAGGACTTGGCGCACGAGGAAGAAGACGGATCGAAAACGAAGAAGAACGGAAGAGGACGCAAGAAGGCAACGCAGACGGCAGAGGCGAATCCGTCTCTCTTACAACGCAGACGGTTGCGGACGAAGCGGCGTCATCGCAGCGACCAGCGCCACGCATCAAGGCTAGTGGGAAGTCCACGAGGTACAGTTAGGAACCGGCAGAAAATAGGTCACGTTCACGTCGGCAGGGAAAACTATTTATAGGAAAGTGTTAAGAATTTGAGGAACGGGTGGCAACAAAATTACAGTATTATAGTAGAAGACGTTTTGATGCGCATTGCCTGCCTATAAACATTCTACTTAGGAATTTATTATTTCGCTATTTTCAGAACAGTTTAAATTATAAATGAGAGTAGTGCAACTTTGCCACACATTTTGTTTCTTTACATGTAATATCTTGAAGCGAGAGATTGTAAATTGAATTTTTGATTTCACGTGCAATGTATTAGAATAGCACAAATTTAGATATAATTAATTTTCCTAAGGGAAATTCCAGTGTAGTTTTTAGGGTAATTATTTTCAGAGTATCCAATCTTCAAGTAAATTATGTGTTCTTCATATGAATGTCTGTTTGTAAAAGGTTTCTTCTGTGTTTTGATGTATTCTTTGTAAAAGTGTGATTCTATATTCTTGTTTCCTGTCTTAAATTATGCCACTAAAAGTTTATGGTAAATTATTACGCTCGTTTGTGTGGCAATCTGTGTGATTTTATTGTGTCCACGGGTTCAAACCTTTCTCGCACCCTGAAAGATCCTGGCTCCCTAGATTTTTTTAAGCTCGCTCACGACACAATCTTGTAACCCGCTTACGGTTCATGCATGCTACTGTGTGTGGGTGTGGGTTTTGTAGGTGGGTTGTCGGTACTGGGTGTGGGTGTGGGTGAACTTTTATGTGAACTTATATATAATATATATATATTCTCATAATATTATATATATAATATATTATTATATATACCGTATATACACGAATATATAATAGTCACGATATGGGCTTTCGGCGCTCAGCACACGCTGCCGTCGGCAAGTGACCAGTTTGTCATATTGCCGAGCCCGCGTTCGAGGCTATAAAATGGCGAGGGCTTCGCACCTCGCTCTCTTCACGTATTGGCAACCTGCCCGGAGCAGCCGTCGTCACGGCCCCCGCTCCCAGGACGTGGGTCCCGTACGCGGCTAAGTCAATAACTTATTTAAAAGATACTCTCTTTCTTCCTGGCACGAGTTGGTGGGGTGAACTCCCTCTCCCCTCAACTCGCGACAATATATATATATATCTATATTATATATCTATAATATATATTAATATATATATATATATATATATATATATATATATATATATTGTAACCACGCAGACAGTGTTACAACAAGCACGTACTTTCTCGCATTGTTTGTTACTTTTCCAATTTCCTAAAATGAAGGAAGTTGAATGACAATGACTCGTACCCCAATTTAATCATCTTTTGTTGAATTGGGGGGATTAAGAAAAAATTGGAGATCTTCTGAAAAGAAAAAAATAGAAATTGCATTTACTTGAGGTTAAAGTAATACAAATATTACTCTTAATTTTCAAAAATTGTAAATGACCCACTTAAAGATATAATGTTTATTTTCTATAGTCATACTATGTGTTTAGGCATTGAAGACAAAGTACTGGTGTGTTCTACTGGTTTTTTCAACACAGAATCTCGTATTGTGGGGCTCTGGTATTGAATAAGTGGATAAATCTTGTTCCCATTCGTAGTAAATTACTTTCTTTAATACATTGTATAGTCAGATTCCACGTTTTGTGAGTTTTTGATACCGAAAACTTTGGTTGTGGAAAAAACGTCAACCAAAGCTTGTCATAGGATTTTCTCCAAAATTCAGATTTCCCCATCAATATATTAAATCCCGAAGTCCTGCGAGTTAAGAACGGATATTTTAGTTTTTGGTGGTTCTTTACATTAAGCCTCAATGTTTTCAAACTTTTTTACAAAATTACTCCAATTACTCCATTTCTATAATTTTCCTCCCACTTTTTTCTCGGATAAAGCAATAAACGAATGAAAAATGGGTCAGATCTCATTTTCGCTGAGCATTCCCGATTTACGAAAATGCTGAAGTTCAAATATTTTACATCGTCTTCCTACAACTACAATATTGACGAGAAAAAAATTGTTACATAATGAAATCTATTGTTCAAAGACAGATATTGAAATAAGGTCGTGTACAATTTATCGAAGATGTGAATAGTTTCCGAGTAATTTTACGTAAAATGTAGGAAATTTTTAAACAATTATTTTCCCAAAGAATGCTTCATATTTTTACTTTCTTGCCTTACAAATTCTTCATAAGAAGGGAATGGTATGTGATCGTGGAAAATGTAATGTAATGTGCCAGAATTTGTTTTTTAATCCCCACAATTAGAACATTAGATGTATCAAATT